CCCCCCCCCCCCTCCGTTCTCTCTTATCGCTGTACATCGCGAATTGAGAAACGGCGGCGCCGGAAGCACGAAGCCGAAGCCGTTGTCAAGCACCGGCTTCGCATTGCCGTCCATTCAATTTGTCTCGATAAATCGTCTAATGGGCTTCCATCGTGTCAGACCGGCCGGCCGGACATGCGATTTTCCCTTTCACAAGACCTATCCTCGGAGTGTCGTTCGAGCTTTTAAGCGTTTAACATATAAAAATTAGTTCCCTCTTTCCTCGGGATTATTTGAAGGGCACAAGATATCGTTCTTGAAATTAACATTTGATATTTCGTGTGAGCGTGAAAGCGTGCTAAAACGACACTCAGAGTTTCCGACGGATCTCGCCTCGATAACGAAAAGAACGAGGACGACGCGACGATCTAAAATTACCCGTGAAACGTGCCGTTAGAAGGAAAGTATTGCCGTTTCACGCATCGATCGCGCACGCGGGAAACATGCCTGATTTGCCTTAAGATAGGTCATGCCCTATCGCCGCTCGCTTCTCGCGATCGAGTGCTACCGCCGCTCGATTTACACCGCATACGGATCGTCCGAGCGCGTCGCACGGTCCGCATCGGCGAAGTCGGGATTAATCGGGTTAATGTCACGCGCTCTCACGTGCGGCGTCTCGCTACTGCCGGCGGCCACGTGCATCCGCAGACCCGATACCGGCCGACGTTCCGAGGATAGCGTTGAAACTGGATTTATCACACGGTCGCGCCGCGTAAACTTCATAAGATTACATCGCGTCGTACGGCGATATTCGTGTTTACCGCTATAAATACAATCGCGAAATTAACAAAGTCGAAAGTTTACGTACTTTCGTCCACGAGAATTTTTAGAAACTTGGACTCTGAGTTCCTTCCTTCAACACGTTTTTTTTTTCATTTTTTTTTTTAATGTCCGATTTTAAATCTGTATTTAAAACGACATTTAATGATGAATTTAACGCACAAAAAAACGTATGCGCCCGTTATTCGTGATTATTCTGCAATTATGACGCACCATTTCGGAATGGCATGACACGAATCGACGTAACGAGAGTTTAATAATTTAATTGAATCACGCAGGTTTATTCCCAAGTAAACTGTATTAAAATTTAATTATTATATATATATATATATATATATATATATATATATACGGCAATATTATTGCACAGCACGCGCGTCCATCGTGGAAGCTGCGAGAGGCGAGCGCGATGATTTAACAGGGGAGCACGATACGTTCTATCAATCGGCTTGAAAGAGGCTAACGTTTTCCAATATGTCGAGGGTTAGTTCGAAAGTTCAATTGTGAATAGTGTCGTATCTCGGAACGTGTGTATTGTAAGCGTCTACAATAGCCACGCCAAGCTACTATTATTTTATCCTAATTAAAAATTTACTTGGTTTGCGATCAACCTGGTTGACTGTGCGCTTGCTGTCGTATGGATTAAAAAAAACGGATTTTGTCTTAGAACACGTAGACGTTCCGACCGTTTATACCGAAATAATATGCATCTATTTGCGACGTTGATACCTTACTGCTTAGCTCCAGAAGTATACACATGGAAAAGCTCTTCTATAAATAAATTTAATTTACTGAAGCTCGCTTCAGCCCCTGGAAATTTCTCCGTCTTTATCTTAAACGTTTGTTATTTTGCAGTTTAGCAGGCGGATTTGAATCCCAACTTTATGATATCGTCAGTCTGACATTTTCCCGAGAAAAAAAGGTCGAAGAGCATTGGTGTGGTCGCGTATAGAAATATCCGCGGCGCTCTCGCAAAGTAGTTTAACCCTGGAATTGTTATACATGCATTATACACTTTCGTTATATGCGCCGACCGCACACCGCGGGTCTCTCAGTGATGCCATATGTATACGTGTAACTACGACTATATACTTGACTCCACTATTTGTGTAACACGCAAAAATATACCCGATCTTAAATGCCCCAAATTCCCGAGCTGCGAATCGATACGCGACGCGAGAGCGCGTCCACGGTTTTAACTCTTCGCGAGAGCCAAAACTCTTCGCTCGCAAATGAGAGCCGCAGGAGCTCCTCTAGAGTCAGTGGCCGGCGTGCCGGGATTCTCGAATTGATATCATCGCCGGCTACGCGCCCGCGGGGATCGAAAATATGATACCGGCGGAGTATCAGTTCGCGGTAAATCAATATAGAGAGATACGGAACGCGGCACGGCGCCGGGACGGGATGGGACGGCACGGCGCGCACAGGACGGGCGGGCGGACTAGGGGGAAGGAGGGGAGGCGAGCGGGGAAGGGCTTTATCTGATATATTTGTCACAGTTGCGCCCGCAAATATCCGGCAGGTTGCCATTATTTTGCATTCTATCGGCGCCCGTAGCCCGGACGAAATAAACGCGCATACATTTTCTATTCGGGGCCCTACGCTCCGTTCTATATATCGGGAGGGGGGAAGAGGAAGGGAGGGGAGGGGGATGGAGAGGCACGGTCGAGCGCGTTTTCGGTTAGCGCGGCCGGAAAGTCGGCGAAAATAGTGGAGTGCCCGCGGGAGGGGGGAGGGGAATTTATTTATATACACGCACACGCGACGTGATTGCCGACGCAATTAAAATACAAACGCGCGTGCGGATTATAGTCGTTTCGACGGAGGGGCAGACGGAGGGAAGGGTAGTGGAAAGGGATTGTGGCGCGTCAAAATGCATCGTTGGGCGTCTCGTCGAGGAGAGATTGACTCTACATTTGCATCGAAGAAGCTGACATAATCTACATAATTTGTTCTCGCCCTTTACCGTTACGGTGATTCCCAGCGTTTCTATGGGATTTTTCACAATAGTTCCTCGGACGATTTATCTCTTTCTTAACTATTTAGGAGTATCTGCTACAGAGAAATCCTTCCTCTCGATCAGAGCCCCTTCCTTTGCGTGTTAATTTTTTCATTTCGACATATTACGACAAAATTTTTAATTTCTCGCTTCAAAAGATTGATTTTTCGCCGAATTTAGTGCGGCTAAACGTGGGACGTGACTGCATTTTAACGCGCCTGACGAGGGGGAAGGTATAGTCGTGAAAAATAAAAGCGACCTACGTAGGTCTTAATAATAAGTCCGCACGAATAAAAAGAGCGCCTCCTCCCATGTGACACTTGATATTTTAAGTCCTTCGTTAACGCGATATTTTTCATCAAATGGACGATTCGAAGGACTTATTACGAGCTGCCGACGCGATATTCTCTGTATGATGTATGTGTCGTGTACGTATATGCGAGTACGAACGCGTCGTTCGATAAGTTGCCTCATAAAATCCAATTTTAACCTTCGCTCTGAACGACACTCGATCCTAAGAGATTCCTCTTTTGTTTATCGCGCGTTCTCATTACTTTAATATAACGATCCACCAGAAATTCGACTGCAGTGAATAAGGATTTTTTACTTTATATCAATTTAGTAAAATTTTGTTGTGCATTTATATGATAAAAGTAGACTGAAAAAGATAATTAACTATTAACTATTAACCGTTGCTGTTTGACATCATTGATTTATGTCGTTTCTCTGAAACTTCAACTTCTCTACAGAAAAAAAATATTTCCCAAAAATTTAGTCTAA